TATGCGGCTCCAGTGTGGTCTGCGAATACTAGTGCTACGCAGTGGAAGAATATCCAGACCTGCCAGAACGCTGCCCTGAGAACTGCGACAGGGTGCCTCCTCATGACACCAGTGGACCATCTACATGAGGAGGCGAAAGTCCTTCCCTTACGTCAGCATAATCATATGCTTTCGTTGCAGTACCTGCTTGGGTGTTACCGTGAGAGCCATCCCAACCATCACATGGTGGATAACTCTCCCCCACCCAGGCGTGTCAGGAAGGACATACATGATCTAGAGAGGGAGGTCCAGCGCTACAAGAGAGAGCCTCTAGATCAAGAAGCCTATCAGGCAGGTCTGAGTGGCATTCACACCGATGCAGTCGCGGATGCTATTAGCAGTTACAAAGTGAATGCCGTCCTCGGAGTCCACCCCCCATCCATTGCAGCCGAAGAACGTCAGCTGCCTAGACAAACCAGGGTAGTTTTGGCGCAATTACGTTCAGGATGGTGTAGTCGCCTCAATTCGTATTGGGCACGAATTGATGAAGATGTGCGTGACGCCTGCCCGGCGTGTGATACAGGCCCGCACAATACGCTACACCTTTTTAATTGCTCAGCCAAACCTACCCAACTCACTCCAGAGGATCTCTGGCTACAGCCCGTTAAAGTAGCCGAATTTCTAAACCTGGAGCTGGAACCAGATTAGCAGAACACAAACACACACATGTACTACTGCTACAACAACAACAACAACAACAACAGTTTTTGTCGCGAAATAAACCATAAGAGATATATAGAACATGATATTGAAAAGAAATTTTGACCATTCATTCAGTTTTCGCGGTTTTAAATTATTTATTCAAAATCAATGCAACAAGTTGTTTGCTTTTTTATTGTTTTGATAGCAATTCTGACATTACAAGCCAAACAGGTAGACCTCTATACTTGAAATTTTTTCAAAGTTGACCTACCTTCTCTTCATTGTACCATGGTAGAGATGTGGTCATTCCATCTGAAACCTCCCCCACAAAGGGTCAACGTTTTGAATAAACAAAAAGATTATAAAATCGGAAATAAGCAACCGGTTCTCTTCATATTACAGACATTCCAATATTTTTATTAACCCAAGGTCTGGTATGAAGATGAAATATATTGGTCCACTCCTTCTGGTACCTCCCCCACAAAGGGTCAAAATTTTGAATGTCCATGAAGCTAATTAAACGCAAATTAACATCCCTTACCATTCAGACTTAGTACATCTCAACATTTGCATGTACACAAGATCTGTTATAAAAATGGTAGTGATGGGTCCATTCCTTCAGGTACCTCCCCAACAAAGAGTAAAGTTTTGAATAACAAAAACGATCATAAGATCCGAAATAAGCATCCGGTTCTCTTCAAATTGCACACATCAAAATATTTTTAATAACGTAAGGTCTGGTGTGAAGATGGAATATATCGGTCCACTCCTCTGGTACCTCCTCCACAAAGGGTCAAAATTTTGAATATCCATGAAACTCATAAAACACGAAATTATTACTCGATGCCATTCAGACTGAGCACATCTCAATATTTCTATCAACACAAGATCTGTTATAAAGATGGTAGAGATGGGACAATTTTTTCTGGTACCTGCCCCACAAAGAGTCAACATTTTGAATACCCATGAAGCTCAAATTAACACCCGATGCCATTCGGACTTGGCACATCTCTATATTTCTATCAACACAAGATCTGTTAGAGGTGGGACCATTTTTTCTGGTGCCTCCCCCATTTAAGGTTCAAGATTTTTAAAAAACAAAACGGTTAAAAAAAAAAGCGAAATAAGCATCCTTTTATTCTTCAAATTTCAAACAGACAAACATTGTTGCTAACACAAGATCTGTTGTGAAGATGATATATATCTGCGAAACCCTTCTGGTAGCTTACCCACAAGGGGTCACAATTTTTAATACTTTCATCTGTCATAACTTGCGAAACAAGTCCGCAATTCCTTACAACTTACTATATCAACATATTTCTCTCAGGCAGAAATCTGAGATGAATATGAAATTTATGATTTCGCATAAAATTGGATATAAATGTTCGATTTTCTTGTAATTTTGCACATACCAATATATTTATTTGTATTAGATGATGTATGAAACTGGAATACTTCGGTCGACTATATCACATATCTCATATAAAGTGGAGGAAGTCAAAACCTGAATGATCATAACAGAAGTGAAAATAAATTTAAATAATCGAACATCTGTCGGCAAAACCGACTGATATTTTTTAGCTTGTTTTTTATACTCGTATATATGATTTTCTTGGGTTCAGGTAAGATGTAGACTCTTAACGGCTTCTATGACCTATAGTAGAATTGCATGACAAATATTTTTGTAGAATATTTTGACTTGTTATCATCCCGTTTAAAGGTATTTTTATACCCTACAACACTTTGTGTTGGGGGTATTATAAGTTTGATTGGGCCAAAAATTATGTAACACCTCGAAATATTGGTTTCCCACATAGGAAAGTATATATGGATCTTCCTATCTCGCCGAGCTGAGTCGATCTAGCTATGTATGTCCGTCCGTCTGTCCATGTTAATTTGTAATCACTCTACAGGTCGCAATTATGGCCCGATCTTCACGTAATTTAGAATGGAGGTGGGGTTAAGGTCAGAATATAACCCTATTTCTTTTGAAGATGATCGCACAATATTTAGGGGTCGAAATGGACCAAAAACTGAAAAAATCCTGATTTTGCAGTTGCTCTACAGGTCGCTTCGGGCTGGGCCTTCCAATTTTGATGGTCATCGGGTAATATTTAGTGGGTGAAAAGACTATAACATTTGTGTTAAATAAAAGTCAAATTTCCATTAAACCGCGAATACTTTTAGTCCCGGCGAAATCATAAATAGACGAACAGGTCAATTCTGACCGTTACGTAGATGCCGATAATAAATATATCGGATATATATAGCGAAATATATACAATGTATATATACATAGGAAGGGGATGTTAGATAGAATGCTTATATCTCAAGAATGGCTGGACCGATTTTGACAAATTTTGTCAATTCAGAATGCCCTCTTGACATAAAAGTATAAAATTTAAAAAAAATCGCATAAAAATAAGTCCAAAATGATGTTAATATAGATTTTGTAGTATTTTGTGTCTTTTTTTTTATTTTTTTCGTATTTTTTATCGCATGCGATTTTTTTAATTTGACTTATAATATTAAGGTGCACATTTTGTAATATTTTTCCACCTTACAACACAGGTTTGGGATATTATATACAGATTGCAATTATCGTCTGATCCTCACGAAAAGGGTTAGGCTCAGAAGCTAGGCCTATTGTTTTCAAAGATGTTCGCAGCATATTTAGGGGTTGAAATGGACCAACATCTAAAAATCTTCCTGATTTTGCAGCCGTTATAAAGGTCATAAATAGAAACCAAAGGACAAGAAACCTCGCATGAAGTTAGAGTTTAGGACAGCGGGTAGAATGGACCACTACTTTTGTGTGAAAAATACCAACATTACTTACAGGCGATAGCCGAAATACACAACATGCGAACTTCTGCCATTTTTGTTGATTTCGTTGACGAATATAGCCAAATATCGTAGACAAGAAGATCGTATAGAAGAGTCTAAATTTGGAGATACAGAGGGGCCTCTTGCTTTTGGAGATGATCGCAAAATACGACGGAGTGCGTAAATATTGGGCAAATGTCCCTGGTTAAAATGCTAAGGGTAATATCTGGGCAGTGCTCCGTCACATAATTTCAAAAGCGAAATCTTCCAAAATGGATTTGGTCATAAGGGGGCTTCTAACATATTGTAGTGTTGTAGGGTATCACATGGTCGGCCCCGCACGACTATAGCCTTTGCTTACTTGTTAACCATATTTTTAAAAAATTACCAAAAGTCAATTTTTTACTATATTTTCAAAATAGGACCAAAAAGTCCCCTTTGGTGATGTGTTTGACAAACATAAACATCATATTGTTATCAGCATTACCTAAAATACAAGGATTTAAAGGAATCTTAATCTTTGTTGTGTTTTTTTTTTCAAGACATTTTTCTCAATGTTTCCTGGAGGATTTTTTAAAAATATTTTTAAATCAAGGGTCTCAATTCTGATTTCTTATATATTTTTTCGGTGGTCCTGATCAGAGCAATAATTGTGGAATTTCAAAAATATTTTTCAATTTTATTTCATTTGGTTGATTCCTTATCTAGCCACATATACCTTTGAGATAAAGACACATTTATGTAGTATATCCAAGAGATTTAGTAAAAATAGTATTCCATGTCCAAGATGAAGATGCCTTTTGTTTATCTTGGGCGTTATCAGTAAACCGCTTCTTCAAACATTTGTATTTAGCGAATAAAAAAAAACTAAAAAAAATATTTCATAAAATAATTAAGAGCACTCATGAACCTGCCTCAATACGGCCAAGGAAAATTACAATAAAATGCGCGTGTTCCTTCACTTCTAGGACACATTCTTGTCATGTCAGTTCTCCCTCAAGTCTGTTTCCTTATCATTTGATATCTAATCAAAGGAAACTCTGTTTAGTTTATATTTGGGTTTTTTTTGCGAATCAGCATGAAGTTTCTTTGCTTTGGTTTTGGACATTTTTGAGAATAGGCGGATTTCACTTTCACCGAAATGTTGATAACAATGTTTACATATTTTTGTTGTTGATTTATGGCCCCCCAAATGTCTACAAAGGTTAATATTATAAACAATAACTTTTGCAGCTCAGCTAATTTGGATTCGGAGATAAAGTTTCGTTGCAATATGTGAAGAATATATTCCGTAAGAAATTTTCATTTTGGAAACGATGTATTCCTCTGGGAACTAATTTTCTGAAACTTTTTCGATCATAGGAACACCAATATTGCTGGAAAGATTATTCAGAATTGATATTTCCAAATTCTAAGAACTTTACGCTTCACGAACTTATTGAAAAAAAAACGCTTCTTAAAATTTATTAATTTCATAATTTTTTTCGTTGCAGCTCATTTGTGAAAACACCCAAAGCCTCACCCTTTGAACGGGCGGGAGAAATGTCACGCGACACACTCTCCAGGGATAGTGTGTTTCGCACGATATTACAACGCGACCGCTATAATCCACATGTGATACGGAAAAATCTAATTGCCAGTACCAAAGACTCACTGGACTATGTGCAACGTTTGGGTCTTATGTGTCGTTTGCCCATACATTCGGGCTGTGTCAATACGGTACATTGGAATAATACGGGTGAATATTTAATAAGCGGTTCGGATGATCAATTTGTGGCCGTCACAAATCCCAACAATCAACAGGTCCTACTCAAATATAAGACGGCACATCGTGCGAATATATTCAGTGCACGATTTATGCCACAGAGCAATGATCAGGCCATTGTTTCGTGTTCCGGAGATGGCATTGTCTTGCACACCGAACTCTTGGCGCCATACATCAGGAGACGTCAGGGTTCCGACGAACCCATGCCGTCGGTGTATGAACGCATCTCGGATAATGACAGCAATGTTGGTTGGTTCAGCTGCCACAAGAGTGGTACCACCTATGAGGTAATGACAGTTCCTACAGAGCCCCGCACATTTATGAGCTGTGGCGAGGATGGCACCGTACGGCTATTTGATCTACGCAAAATCTCCAGCTGTCACAAGACCTGTTGCAAGGACAACATTTTCATATTCAGTCCATCGGCTGTGAATGCCATGGACTTGGCGCCGATCAGTTGTAATTATGTGGCTGTTGGCAGTTCCGATGCCGTTGTGCGCATCTATGATCGTCGTTATTTATCTGTGATCGATTTTAGTGATAGTTCCATACCAACGACAGAACGCCATACGCGTCCCGTTAAAGCTTATCCCATACCACTGCCCACAAATCGCCAGTTTCGTATCACCTGTGTACGTTACAGTCCTGACGAGTCTGAGCTCTTAGTTAGTTACTCATCGGAATATTTATATTTGTTTGATTTGAAAAATGAGGGTGTCGACATCAATGACCTGTCCAAGAAGGGACGTTTTCTGAATCGTGAGAGTACACCGCCACCAACAATGACGGCGGAGCAGGTTACACGGAGGCTAAGATTGAGGGGTGATTGGTCGGACACGGGGCCCGATGCAAGGCCGGAACGTGAAGTCAGTGGTAGGGGGGAGGTGGGCCAGGTAAGGCCTCAGCTACAGGCCAATATAATGAGTCGCATGACAGAGGTTATATCACGCATGCTAAATGATCCCAGGACCCGCATGGGCTTGACAAGTCAAATGCAGGAGACACTGAGAGAGACTTCCCAGGAGGGCAATGAAAGTTTGGTAATGGATAGCAGAGATAATGTTGAAGGTAAGTGTCAATTTTTTTGCTTTTGAATTGTTTTTTAATTTTTTTTTCACAGAATCCCGTCCCTCAACATCCTCGGCATGGCGCCGGGCGGCCGCCAGTACCTTGGCTGCAAATCACTCATCATCTGTGGATACCCAAGACTCGCTGCCGAATTCAGCGACAGCAGCCAGCACTCACAGTCACAGTGTCGATGATATTGAAATGTCCGATCCAACATCTTCGACAAATCAAGACACCACCACCAACAGCAGCACGACCAACACCAACTCCGCAACTGATACCGATTTCCAAGATGATTCGGCTTCATTAAATCAAGAACTAGCCGATTTGGAAATGGAAACTAAAGAGGCAATATTCGATTATTTACGCATGAAATATACGGGTCATCGCAATGCCCGTACCATGATCAAGGAAGCCACATTCTGGGGCAACAACTATGTGATGTCGGGTTCAGATTGTGGTCACATTTTCACATGGGACCGCCGTACGGGGAAATTGGTGATGTTAATGCAGGCCGATCAACATGTGGTGAATTGTTTGCAACCACATCCGGAGCTGCCATATTTGGCATCATCGGGCATCGATTATGATGTGAAAATCTGGGCACCCATACTCAAGGAGAAAAATTTCAACGAGGAAGAGGCTGAAGATGTAAGTGGGGTCCATAGATGAGAATCGGATAGTCAATTATATATCCATTAGATAAAATGCGGTTTAGCCCCCCAGCTCTTTTCTATAGAGTTCTTGCAAGAGTAGAGTGCGATGGAGTCCCTCTTCCAATTTTATTTTTGGCCGAGAACAGTACCGAGATACTTGCTTTTCGAAGATAGGCTTAACGTGACTCCATCCAAAGTTGGTCCAAAGAATCTGATTGGCTTAAAATTTTTGAATGGAAAAAATATTTGCTCTGTTCCAGAACCTACAGGAATCTACTAGTTTTGAAATTTTTTCGATATCATGAAGGGAAAATCGGTTATCGTCGTAAAAACTTTTACATTCTTGCAGTTCTGGTACAGACCAATTTTTCGATATGAATTTCGACACTGGTGATTAACTTCAATATTCAAAGTTTGTACTATTTTTATAACCTCAGTCATATGGCTAGAGAGGGTATATATCATTTGATAACGAAATAACGGTTTTACACCCTAGGTCTCTTTGGACCAAATCCGTTTCAGGACATTTGGAGTCGATCTAGCGGTGTCCGTCCCCCCGTCTGCCTGTCTGGCTTGTGCGCACGATAACTCTCGAAGGGAGTATCCGATTTGATCCAAACTTGGTACATCGTAATTTTATTGTCAAACTTAGATCGAGTTTGGAGATGGGCAATATAGGTCCACCCCTTCTAGTACCTCTCCCATAAAATGTCAACATTTTCAAAGAAAATAATTTACTGCGCAGAAAGATTTCCGATTTTGTGCAATTTTTGCAAATCCCAATATTTTTGTCGATGCTAAGGCAGGTGCGAAAATGGACAATAACGGCCGACTCCATTGAGTACCTCCCCCATAGAGGGTCAAAATTTTGAATAATTATAACTCTTATAAAATGTGATGTAAGAGTCCGATTGTCTTCAAATTCCATCCATCACAATATTTTTATTAACACTCAGTCCACTCCTTCTGGTACCTCCCCCACAAAGGGTCAAAATTTTGAATATTCATGAAGCTCATAAAACGCGAAATTAACGTCCGATTCCATTCAAAATTGACACATCTCAATATGTCTATCAACACAATGTCTGTTATAAAGATGATAGAGATCGCACCATTCCTTCTGGTACCTCCCCCACATAGGGTCAACATTTTGAGTAACGAAAACGATCTTAAAATCCGAAAAAGCTTCCGATTCTCTTCAAATTACACACATTACAATATTTTTATTAACCCAAGGTCTGGTGTGAAGATGGTATGTATCGGTCCACTCCTTCTGGTACCTCCCCCACAAAGGGTCAATCTTTTGAATATCTACGAAGCTCATAAATACGAAATTAACATCCGATTCCATTCAGACTCGGCAAATCACAATAGTTCTATCAACACAAAGTCTGTTATAAAGATGGTATAGATCGGACCATTGCTTCTGGTACCTCCATCACAAAGGGTCAAAATTTTGAATAACCAAAACGATCATAAAACCCGAAATAAGATTACGGTTCTCTTTAAATTACACATATCACAATATTTTTATTATCCGAAGGTCTGGTGTGAAGATGGTCAACATTTTGAATATCTACGAAGCTCATAAATACGAAATTAACATCCGATTCCATTCAGACTCGGCACATCTCAATATTTCCATCAACATAAGATCTGTTATAAATATGGTAGAGATCGCACCATTTCTTCTGGTACCTCCCCTACAAAGGGTCGAAATTTTGAATAACCAAATCGACCAGAAAAACCGAAAAAAGCATCCGGTTCTCTTCAAATTACACAAATCACAATATTTTTATTAACCCAAGGTTAAATATTGGGCAACTGCTTCGAAACCTCCTCCATAAAGGGTCAACAGTTTCAATAATCATAACTCAAGGCTGGGGGCATACATCTGTCGGTAGAACCGACTGATACTATTTTATTTGTTTTCCATATCGAGTGGTAGAAATTGGCCCCAGAAAATTTCATGGTTGGGATATATAGTCGTATCCCTGCGTATGAAAGCTATATTTGTTCACAATACTTTCCACATAACTTCCATAACTAATGTTAAATTGTTTTTCCGCCCTTCTTCCAGCTAATGAAACGTAATGCCATCATGTTGGAACAGACCAAAGATACAATTACTGTACCGGCTGCTTTTATGATACGTATGCTGGCCTGTATACATTCGCTGAGAAATCGTGAGCGGAATCAAAATTCCAATGATACTTCGACAGCCAATGGCAATGACAATGAAACGACGAGGACGAGCACAACAACAACAACGGGTGATAACAGCACAGGAAACAATGGCAATAACTCAAATCCCGAGGATGAAGAAAATAATTAATTTAATTTCACATGGATTGATTCTCAATATTTGAGGAAATTCAATCCCAAAAAGCGTTAAATGTATAAGAGGAGTACTATGGCTAATGGTGCTTTAAGGAAAAAAAAAACAACAATAAATAAATGAAATTATTTATGGATTTTAATTAAAAATTATTAGAATAAAATAATGTAAATTTATGCTAGATGAAAATTCTGAAAAGAAACAGGAAAAATAAAAGGAGACTATTATTTTAAAATATAAGTTTTTAGTTTTAATGAATGGGGAAAACTTACGGTAGGTTAGTTTGGAGGATGTGTAGTTGCAATTGAGATTGTAACTACCTTTCTAGCTAGGAAATCTTTTGGTCCACTGTGATCATTGCGAGTGAGGAAAAAACCAGTAAGGCAAGGTCAAAAGTCGGGCGGCCCGACTATATGATACCCAACAACACTATGCGTATTTAGTAGAGCTCCCGTAAAAAAAAAAAACGGAAAATGACCGTAAAATCGGATGGAAATGTATATCGAAGGTATATAAAAATCTTCAAACCGGATAAAGATATATATGGGAGCTGTATTCAAATCTGAACCGATCTCGATAAAATTTGGCAGAGGTATTTTCAAGCTGTATCTGATGTCCGTTATCAAATGTCATTGTTGTGTCATTGTGTCATGTCATTGTTGTCATATTATACATGTGAGGGATCTAAAACCACAAATCGGTTGAAACATGTATATGGGAGCTACAGCTGTGTCTGAACCGATTGTCACCAAAAGTTCATGTACTTGCTTTTGGGTTGAATTCCGTCGGAAGGGCCAAAATTCCGATCATTTGGACTGATATTAGCCATTTGGCGCACAATAAACCCGAAATCGGTTGAAGATATATGGGAGCTATATCTACATTTGAACCGATTCTTATCGATTTCAATAACGTTTTTCTTTGGTTTCAGTTTTTTCATCTCACCCTGCATATAGTAATAGTCACATTTTCTGGCCATTCTGAAGGTTTCTTCTAAAGAAGATGTAAAATCAAATACCAAAATATATATTTATCTTGGAGTATATTTTATTATTATCATTATTATTTTTATCTAAATTTAGAAAAAGGATAAGCAGAGTTTATGTTTAGATTTAATTCTGCTTAAATTCTTATTGAAATGCTAGTTTATTTTCTAGAAAATTTTTAAAATACAAAATTATACTTCCCATACCAATTACATAAAACATATATATATCTAATTTTTCAACCACTTTGGGTATAATTTCATAAATTATAACAAATATTATTTAAAAAATAAAACATACGAAGCGGAGCATTATCCAGAGCTAATTACAATTTGGAAAATAAATATGCTAAAAACTCCTACGTTGAGCAATTATTTTTCTTGACAAAAAAAAGCAAAGCTGGGTCGTTTGAAATGGAATTACTGCCCAGGAGCAGAAACCCTTGGGAAAAGTTATTCGAGTTTTATTTTCTTTTTGGATCGCCTACCAACATTTCTGTTTGTTATACTATAAATAATATTGCATGTTAACGAAAATCAAAAAAACTCCGCTCCTCTATTATTAACAAAAATCGAATAAAAATAAATACACAAATACTTATCTGTATAAACATCTTGGATATAGTGTACTTATGGAGTATACATATAATTATAATTCATCTTAAACATTAACGGCATTCTGCAATGATGTCTTGTCATCGACAATAATATTTGCCACCGCTGCTGTATTGGTATTCGAACTCAAGAGTTGTTTGGTCGATGAGCTTGATGAATAGCTATCACTGGAACTACGTGTGGATGCCGAAGTGGCACTTACAGGGCTGTCCAGCATATCTGGAAATAAAACACACATATTAACATCACAATAATATGGCTTCTTTAAAAAACTCGTCGTACTTACCTGGTAAAGAACTAACATTATTGCCTTTTAGATCCACGGCTCCCATGGAGCTGGCATTGGATGCAACACCGGTTGCCCCTGAGCCCACAATATTACCCACAGAGGTGGATTTCTTATGTAAATTCTTTTTGGCCAAAGAATTCTTTAGCTTTTCTCCAGCACCAGACAGAGTTTTGGATTTTTCAGGGCACAGGGGACTTAAAATGCAATTTTGAGGATCTTCAGGAGTGTAATAATCAGAATCTTCGGTTACCCCAACTGATGCCGCTGCTGCTGAAACCACTGTTACAGCAGCTGGTAGTGGTGGTATAACACCCGGAGTTGAACCCTCCCCTCCAATCACCTTTTCATTATTGGCCTTTTTGTGTTTTTTAAATGAGTTAGTTTTTCTTCCCTTGAATTCCACAGTGGGTTCTGATGCAATCATGGAATTATCTTCTGTATGCTCCTCCTCGTCACCATCCTCATTGTCTGAGGTATTGGCCAAAGTTTTTGCCAATTGTGGTGGTATGGGTTTACATTTGCTGCCAGGCGAAAGCAACGGTGATAGTTTTTCATTTTCACTATCGTCATCCGCTTCATCATGCATTGAAGTTGCTGTCGAAGTCATTTCTGGATTTGGTGTTGTTTTGGAATGTCTTTTATGCGATGACTTGGGAACTTTCAGGCTATGACGTTCATTGACAATTTGCAGTTTATCTTGTGAAGAACGTTTATCCAACGATTTATCAGACATTGCTCCGCCATTGGGATCCTCGGGATTATCCTTGTTTGCTGTTGCATTACCACTGGCATTATTTGTCATTGTAGACATTTCTGTGGAATTTGTAGAAGTTGAGGCATTCTTTTTACCCTTCGAACGCCGCTGCGAAGATGGCTTGTACGGTGATGTGGCCTTGTGATGTTCATTGGCAGTACCATTTACCACAGCACCCACACTGCTGCCATCTAACATATCATTGCCATCGCCCACTCCACGACGGGTACCCACGTATTGGGGTGGACCATTCAAGGCCTCTATCAAAGAGACTGGTATAAATCCGGGTGGTACTTGATGCTCACAGGGCAAAGGCTCACCAGCTGCCGAGGTGGGGGTATTCTGATGCAAGACATGATTATTGACACCTTTTTGAACGGCCCGTATTTGCAAAAGGGCCCGGAATGGAGCACGACAAATGGGACAACAATTGGCCTGATAGCGCAAAGAATCTGCACAGGCATAACACAAACACAAGTGGCGACAGGGCAAAATAAGCGTGTCTCGAGTTTCACTCATGCAAATAACACATTCACTGCCATGGTCATCCAAATCCTCATCAATAGAACTTTTATTGATGGCCTGAAAAAGAAGCACATTATTTATGGTTCCCATACTGCATACATGAGTCACACCTACCTTGTTTTCAATGCCATAAATCTCCTGCAACAGATAACACAAGCCATCCACAAATATTTTTTGCTTTAGTGCCCTCAGAACATAGCTATTGCTATCAGGATGATGATCAATGACACAAATAGTTGTGTGAGATTGGCGACAATCCTCGTTCCCCTCCTCCACCACACAATGAATAGCCACGGGATATTGCTCTTTGCCCGGATTATATATCAAATCATCTTCCGGTATCAATTGGGGATTGAAAACATGACTGGGCTGGGAAAAGAATTGATTGATACCCTTCTCATAGTGATATGTTTCCGAAGTCAAGCCATCACGTGGTGTCAAGGTCACACCACTTGGACTAACTTCTTCACTGCAAAAATAATAGATTGTAATGGCGCATCTGGCATCCGAATCGAAAGTAAACTCAATATTATAGAGACATGGTGGTGTATCCAATTGGGCTCCACTCAAACAATTGCCATCAGCCTGATCGCCCTCGGCTTGTTTCTCTTTGTTGACTTTTACAAAACGCACCGATTCCTTGCGTATATTTACCAAACTTTTCAAAGTCTTCGTTGGCTCATTTGCCTGGGGCGGTGGATAGGGAAAGGCCGTGGGACGATTTCCCAAGAAATTCAAATCGGCATTTTCACCAAATAAATACGACTCCGGTTGGGGTGTATCGAAACGTTCACCGCCCATTATGAAGTGACTGCCAAAGAAATTATTACCCGACCTCGGAGGATATTTATAGGCGTGAGTGTTGGCATTTTGTTCGGCCTCCACTTCATTTTGTTGGCGACTTGTAAATGCACCCATATCGATGTTTTTGCTTGCAATAATCGATGGTAAAAAATAACTTTTTCTGCTACTTTCCTAGTTTTCCACTTCGACTGAATAGTTAGTCATTAGGGTAATTAATTACACTACCTTTTTGCAATATATTCTTTCGATTAAACTATTATTTAGCCATCGCGAAGGGAGACGTTTGTTTTTTTTTTCAAGAAAATCAGAAAATTTTCAATAATCCTCTCTATTCCAGGGATACGTAGGTCGACTTTCGCTAGAGGGAGAGAATATAACAGTCAAGAGTTTGTTTGGCAGCGCTCATGATAAATTAATACAGGTAGAGCAAGTGTTGTTGTACTTTTTAGCCATTGCAAAGGGAGATGTTTGTTTCTTTTCAAGAAAATCAGAAAATTTTCAATAATCCTCTCTATTCCAGGGATACGTAGGTCGAATTTCGCTAGAGGGAGAGAATATAACAGTCAAGAGTTTATTTGGCAGCGCTCATGATAAATTAATACAGGTAGAGCAAGTGTTGTTGTACTTTTTAGCCATTGCAAAGGGAGATGTTTGTTTCTTTTCAAGAAAATCAGAAAATTTTCAATAATCCTCTCTATTTCAGGGATACGTAGGTCGACTTTCGCTAGAGGAAGAGAATATAAAAGTCAAGAGTTTGTTTGGCAGCGCTCATGGTAAATTAATACAGGTGGAGCAACAATAATATGCAAATTTGTTTTTGTTTTGGGCTTTTCCAGGACCTGCAAGAATCTACTAGTTTTGCATTTTTTTGATATGGCTCAATAAGAAAGAAAGAAAAATTCAACTCTGTGCTGGAGTCTTATAGTGTCAAATAGACTTTTAAATATCCAACAGTTATTTTTTCTGTTTTTTTTTCCACATAATTCTTAAATTGGGGAAAAATTGCGAAACAAGAATGGAATTTTTGTGTTATTCAGCAAGGTTGAATCTAAAAATAGTAGAACAATATAGATTTATTCCAAAATTGTGCAATGAGTTGCCCATTAAAGTCGAAAATATGCATTTATTTTGCATCCAAATTTGAAAGTATTGTATTTTTTATTCATAACAAAAGATACACACGAACACAAAATGTGTATATCTTTTGACAGAATAAGGACATCAAAAGAAAAAACTTATATCTAGGGGGTAGCGTTGTTCTACCTATAGTAATTGTGCCATCATCAAAATACCGAATATTGGGAGGGAAGACGTGGATCTGAACAGAATATTTTTTGTCATAGGAAGTAGTACTCATTAGAAAGTCCTAATTTGAAACAATTTCGGTGAAAACTATGACCCAAATCCCCAATTTACCGAATATCGGATTTAGATTCGAAAAGTAAAGAAGCGACTTGATCGAAACCCTCGTCGCGGTGGCCAAATAATGGCTCGTGAGCTGAACATATCGCAATATTCCATTCGACAAATATTGAAAAATGAGCTCGGGTTAAAGCCATTAAAATTCCAAAAAGTGCAAAAGCTTACACCTCAACAGGAAGAAAATAGACTCAAAATTTACTTCGCTCGGCCGAAAGTGGTAAACTGCCGAACTTGGTTTTCTCTCCTCCGATTAAAAAACATTCGTTGTCCAGCAGTTTGTAAACAAACAAAATGATCGTGTTTACTTGCCAAAGAGGTCAGCTGAAAATGTGCACCCTGGGTTGGCCACCAGAACTCAAGCGCCGATTGGTGATGGTATGGGCTGCCATAACAGCCGAATATTATCTCGAAAATATTCTGGAGGGTGTATTAAAGCCTTAGGCACGCAAACATTTTGACCGCAGACCTTAGCCATTCCAACAGGACCATCAGCACCATCGCACTCAGCACATGAGGTTCCGCGCTTCATTTCCAGCGCACAATGACCACCAGAATCTCCGGATACCAATCCGTTGGACTATTGTGTCTGTAGTATTTTGGAAAGCAAGGTTGGCACTAAAAAATACCAAAGTGTCGATAAACTCAAGCAAGCGCTTCGCCGGGAATGGGCCAAAATACCGCAGAGCAACATTTGGGCAGCGTGCGACGTTTTCATTGGCCGTTTGAAGGCCATAATTACTGCCAAAGGTGAACAATTCGAACAAATCTAAACTTATTATAAAATTCGATGCTATTTCCGAAATTTTTTGCTTTCATTCAATAACATTTTCAAAAAAATATGGCATTTGCAGTTTTTTAGCTCTCCCTGTACCGGGAACACAAACTGCCAATTTACACCAAATTCGGTTTGAAATTGTGACTAAAATACTTGAAAAAATAAATCTCTAGTTACAGTTCTATTAGGCCCATAACAGACCATTTTCAATACCAAAAGTCAAAAGCAGAGCTGAAATGCCTCTCGTTAAAATTTTATAAACATACTTCATTTTGTTCGGAAGCTAGAGTAATTTTCATAAACGGTCGGATATAGATAAATCGAAATAGCAATTTATGCTGATCAAGAATATATATAGCTTGTGGGATCTAAAATGTATATTTCGACGAGTTACATAGGAAATGACAAAATTAATATACCTTCCATATTAGGGTGGAGGCTATAAAAACAGAAAAACAAAAATGTCAAAATTGATTCACTGATGAAAATGAAATAACAAAGTTGCTTGTTTGTAGTTTTATTTCACGAGTTTCAATAGGAAAGTTGCTAAGGACTTAAAAATATTACAATATACGTCATTTGGTTTTATTAAAAACATCACGTTGGATTGAATTGAATAAAATGTCCACTTAACTCTGGAACATATCTAAAGTGACAGCAAATATATAAAACGCATTCCGTCTGATAGTGCCTTGAATTGTATGTAGCTAAACGCCGCCGCCGCCGAACAAAACGATCAGCTTTGTTGTCTGTATCAAACATAATTTAGCTTGAAACCGAGATTTTTTGCAAATTCTTTCTTCGTAGTTTTGGGAAGTACACCAGAATTTTACCGCTACGAAAATATGACAACCGACGAGAGCCTACTGGAGGAAATGTTGAGTAAGAAAATTTATGGAAATTTTAACATTTACATACGTTTTTAATGAGGCCAATTTTCTTTGTCCGTTTTGCAGAAAGGTCAACAAATCCTTCCGATGTGGAAGTTGACAATATGGCTGTGCAAATATTTTGTCTGCTGGTGAATAGTAATAAAGATGGACTGGTGGAGAAGGCGCAGCAATTAATTGTGGACAAAATTAAGTCTTCGAATACCACAGAAGCCGACAAAGCAATTGGGGTAAGACAAGATAGTATTTCGTAGTAGTCATCAATGGTTTATCTCGAAAGTATGCTATCAAATGTTTTTGTTTGGATTTGGATTGTACAAGGAAGGAGGGGTGGGCATCAAGCAGGAGGTGAATGGGAAGGAAGTCATTGTAGTAACGCCTTAAAAGATCTGTTTTTTATAATTAACTTTCATTTCATTAGGAGTTTTAGTTTACATGTTCAGTTTTGCTGATATGGTTTCCAATTACTTTGCCCTCCTCTAAACTTTAAAATAGGTTTGAAATAAATCTGTGTTTATAATTAGGTATAAAGGTCAATCAATACCAATACTCAAAACAAATTTTTCTTTGCCTAATTGTGATCTCTTCCATCCAACCCCCTTTAGTTACTGGAAGAATGCATGTCAAAGGGCGGAGAAGATTTCCAAAGGAAAACAGCCAAATTTGCCTTTCTCAACAAATTGATTGGTTTGGTTTTAGATAAGGCAACAACTGGATCTCTGCCCGATCCGCCTGTACCGGTTCAGACGAAAAAACGTATAATGGAATGTTTAATGCTATGGACGGTAGAACATGCTGATAAACCCAAAATTCAGGAAGCCTATGACAATTTGAAGAAACAAGTTAACTTTGCCCATGGGCCGGCAGCATCAGTGAGTGGCAGTTTAAAAACGTCTTCAACAAATGATGGCACTGTTCAAAATCGTGGTGATCCACGTGCAAGTATTTTGGGTAAAGACGACTTATTGCTGGCCAAATTACTGAAAGAAGGCGGAGAAGAGAACTACCGCAAAGCCAATTTAGTAATACAACATCGTTTCAATCAGGAGGCAAGGCGTATTGAGTTTATATGTCATTTAAAATCTGAACTTAAAAAAATTGAAGATACAATGGAATTGTTGGAACAAATGTTGGGTGTCTATTGCTTGGAATCTTCGGCGGAAGATAAAGAGATAATACAAAGTTTGTATGGCACATGTGAGGCCCACAATGTTCAGATGGCGAGATGGCCCGATTTTTTGGGCGATTCAGAACCGGACTTTTTGGGTATGTTTTCGAAATGTTTAAATCACCATAACTTAAACTGATTATAGATTCTCATTCTAGCGGATGTGTTGGTAATCAAAGATAATCTGGTTTCCTTGCTACAACGCTATAATGAAGTAATAAATGGCTCTGAAATTAAAATCCAAACCAAGAAACCAACAAATCATGTTATACAAGGCTCAAATGCCACCCCCTTAATAAATGCATCTGCATCATCACCATCCAATATTGCCAAGTCGTCGACAACATCAAATGCTGATATTTTATCAGAACTTTTGGGTGATTCCCTAAAACCAACAATATCATCTTCTGCTAGTCCCAAAACTGATAGTACAACAAAACCGAAGCAAAATAATGCCAACTCAACGTTTGATGAGCTAACGGAAATATTTGGCAGCATTGAAAATCAGAAAAATGATCCAACAAATTATCCCACGGATTTACTAAACAATTTGGATTTACTAGAGCCCATAAGTGTTTTCAATACCAAGAGCAATAATGAGAAGTCCGAAGGAGATACCAATAATGATGATGATGAGATGCAACAAAAGCAACATGGTTTTAAGGAGCTAAGGGAAATTGACAAATTGAGCGAAGAATTATTTAAGAAAAGTCTTCAAACCGAACTGAGACAATCGACATTTAAAAAGTAAGTTGGTTTTTTTTTTAAGGTGAAATTTTTAGTTGAAGATCAGCTGCCATTAGGAAATGTAATTCGAACATCTAACTAGTCAAACAATGAGTTTTGGAATCATTATACCCTTAGCTATATGGGTAGAGAGGGAATTTATAATTTGATACGGCCAAAACGTGCCTCATCGAAAAAACGGTTTTAGACCCTAGGTCTCTTTGGACCAAATTCGTTTAAGGACATTTGGAGTCGATCCAGCGATGTTCGTCCGTATGTCTGTCTGGTTGGTGCGCGCAATAACTCTCGAAAGGAGTATCCGATTTGATCCAAACTTGGTACATAGTAATATTATTATTAAACTTAGATCGAGTTCGCAGATGGGCAATATCGCTCCACACCTTCTGGTACCTCCCACACAAAATGTCAAGATTTTAAAAGAAAATAATTTACTGAGCAGAAAGAGAAACCATAATTCCAATATAAATATGGTATGGATCGGATCACTCCTTCTGGTACCTCCCCATAAAGGGTCGAAGTTTTGAATAACCAAACCGATCATAAAATCCGAAATAAGCATCTGGTTTTGTTCGAAATTACACACATCACAATATTTTTTTATTAACCCAATGTCTGGTGTGAAGATGGAATATATTGGTCTACTTCTGGTATCTCCCACACAAAGGGTCAAAATTTTGAATATCCATGAAGCTCATAAAATACGAAGTTAAAATCCGATTCCATTCAAAATTGGAAAATCTAAATATTTACATCAACACATGATCTTTTAAAGATGGTACAGATCAGGGCATTTCTTCTGTTACATCCCCACATAGTTTTCGAAGGGAAATAAGCATCCAACTCTCTTCAAATTTCACACACTCAAATATGTTTGCTAACACAACATCTGTTATGAAGATGATATATATGTATCTGCCAACCCCTATTGGTATCTCCCACACAAAGGGTCACAATTTTTAATACTTTTAACTGTCTTAACTTGCGAATTTGGCTTTGTTTTACGAATACCTAATCGTGTCATTGGAAAATAACTTTCGTATTTAAATAATAGTGTAATAATGACATTTAAAAATTCACACAGAATTCTTCTTTTCCAGAGAACCTGAGAAAATCACACTTAACGATTTGGCAAAAGACAAAATGCAAACATCATTGAAGCCACATTTGAATGGCAACAGTCCAATTCTGGATTGCCGCCAGCCAAGCGATGAAATCGAATTGAAGGCTGACAACACTAAGACTGCAGAAGAAATAAAAAAGCCTTTGAAAGTTGATAATGAACAGCCTTTGCCTTTAAATGAGATAATAACAAGAGAATGTGATCAAGAACCAACTACTAAGGCAGCTGAAAATATTACTCAAGAGAAGGCACCAGTTGTTCCGGTGGTTAGCAAACCCTTGGCAGAAATACAAATAGATTTGGATGACTTAACACCACTTGCGGAAGGGCAACGTATTCTCTTGGATGATGAAGATATAGAAGTTTCATTGAACTTTACCGCTGATCGGCCCTCACCCCATGTATCGGTTATTGTCATGTCGGTAATGAATAAATCACGTCTACCCGTTGAAGATTTTCAATTTGAAGCTAGTGTTAAAAAGGTAAACTGAATAAATTGTTGTAATACTAAAATATTAATTTCCTTTTTTTTACTTTTTAGCCTTGCAAAGTCCGTTTGTTGCCGCCCACTGATGTACGATTGGCACCCCGCAAACCTTTTCGACCCTCGGAACCAATTAATCAAGTTATTTTACTTATGAATCCCACTGAGAAGCCAGTGGATATAACATGTATAGTGGGCTATAGGCTCGGCGATGATCCCGATCCTGTTAAAGAGTCAATTACTGCCAAAGGCATTCCATATGTTTAGTCATTTTCAAAATAATATCAAATATTCGCAATGGCCGTAATATTCAGAAAAAAATTAACATCCCCCAAAGCTTCGGAATGACAATTGGCTGGTCCCTTGACTTGTCAAAACTATTTGGGATTCTACTGTTGTGGAAGGGAAAACAAGTTCCTACTCCTTTGTATCACATTGTAAATTTACTTTTCTTATTTTTTGTGAAATTCGCGGATGCATTTTTGACCATTCCAGCTGTGCTTAAATGCAATTTTTAATTTGTTTCTGTTCTCTTCATTGTTTTTAATCGGCATTGCTTTAAACTTATTATTTTAGTGGCATGTTTGCTGCTTTCAGAAAGTATTTTTAAATTCATAAAATTGTTATTATTTTTTAAATATTGATATGTATATAGCATTTTATTTAATTGTGGCAAAATTAATGGCCTCGTTCTCATAACGATTCGAAATTGAACGCAGAACAAAAACGGCCATTCGTTGAGTGTTTTTTTTTTATTATTAACAATTCTCATGGATCTGATGTTTTTTATTTGAGTTTAATTTCGTATCCTCAAACAGAGACAGGCCCAAAATTATTTTCTAATTATTTAAATTATTAGATAGAAAGAAAAAAAAAAAAAAACAAAAATATAAAAAAATAAATAAACATTGCAGCTAATTACATGTTGTCTTACTAAGGAGAGAAATTAATTTCCAAGAGATGCTAGGATTGGAAATAAAAATTTTGAATTCTCCGAAAAGAAATTTAGAAATGTTGAAATCAGTGTCAATGGAATGCGGGGGATACTTGCCAGGAATTTGTTTATATTTTCTAAAAACTTTGCCTATCGATCGAGGAAAACTGACAGGGTTCCCTCCGTTTGAGTGTTTGGCTTTCCCCATTTTGAACCAGTCTTCAGATGTCAAGAACGACACCAGTAATAATAATAATCTTAAATTTTCCATTTACGTTAAGACATAAATTGTATTTTCTTTTTTTTTGTTAATGTTGGTTGTTTTTGTTTCTCTTGTTTTCAATTGCATACATTTTTGTTTCTTATGTATCACTTATAAAAAACCGCGTTGCACCTTAAATAAATACGTATTATATGTATATCAATCATGTATAGTAGGTAGTATCCTTAGAAAAATCTTAATAAACGACACAAAAAATAAATCAGGAAAACTATATATATTATGAATGTGTGTGTGGGTGTGTGTCTGTAGTTGGTTGATTGGTTGGTTATGTGTGGTCATTGAAATCATCCTCCATTCAATATAATACTATATTGACATTTTACGACAAAATCCCGCACAAAACCAAGGACTTGTTATTGTTATACAATTTTCACCGGGCGAAGATTTAAACTCTTTCCGCGTCAATGCTGGATGTTATTCCGTTACAATTTCATCTTTAAACGAGAGTGCCGTTATGGCTTTGGTATGACCGGTGTATTTGCGTTCAGGATTTTTCGTTTCCAACTTCCATAGACGGGCAATGGCATCACTGGAGGCGGTAAACAGATATTTCGAATCGGCACTAAAAGCAGCATCCCATACCCAGGAATTTTCTATGGACAATTCACGCCACATTGTGAAATCGTCGGTTTTCCAGACGCGCGCAGTGCCATCGCCAGAGGTAGTTACAAGCAGACGAGAATCGGGTGAAAATTTACATCTCAGCACATAACGTTTGTGGGCAGCAATTTTCAATTTCGGTTGTAGTGTACTGAGTTTTTGATTTGGCGAGGAACTTAAGGACCAAATATAACAATTGCCTTTATTATTGACCGCGGCCATATACAGACCATCGGGAGATATGGCAACATCTTGTATGGAGGCATCTACTTCGGGTATAAGCTGTTCGTGAACTTCCGACTTGACATCCCACAGATAGACACCACCGTTTTGTGCCCCCATGGCAATTTCCACCTGGTTGGGATGCAGACAGGCGGCATTTACCGGTGCCTGACAATCAAAGACACGAGAACAATGTGGCGAATCGGATAACATATCCCATATGCGCACCCGATGATCCTCGCCGGCGGTGAACATCCATTTACCATCCTCCTGAAAGCCCAGTCGAGTAACATTTTTCTGAACACTCTCGAAATTGATGACTGTCATATTTGTTTTCAGATCATACAGACGTATGCACTGATAGCCACATGCAGCCAAACGGTTTTTATCCGGTGTACGATCCAGGGCGTTGACTTGCTAAACGTGAAAGGATAAACAGAATTAGTACGGAAGTTCAGGTGAGTGTGGGTGCTCCCCTACCAAGGGCCGTGAGCGACTTACCGACGTCTCCACAAACTTCAGGGACTGTATGCAATTGCCGGTATGAGCTTGCCAAAGCTTTATTGTGTGATCATAGCCACCGGTGGCCAATATTAATTGGTCACCTGTTGTTTCCATGGCTTGTGCTGAAACAGGTAATGATGATATTTTCAATGATATTCAAGTGTTTTAATTAAATTCCTACGCGAACGACAGACGGACGGCGTACTTACTCTAATTCCACTTTTTCTTTCCTCCTACGATGCAGACAACGAAGCGGAATAGTTTCTTTCGACGGCGTCACCTTATCAATTGTAAAGCAGTCGGCGTCGCATTGTGATTTTCACGAATACACCCAACACACAGTGAGTTGCGAATGAAGGAAGATACAACACACGAAATGTATAGAAAGTGGAAGAGGCAATATACCGTTACAGCTGTTTGTTCAAATCAGTTTTTTCACCGCAGGCAAAGGAACGAGTGTCAAGAATCGTTTATACCTATCACAATACCCGTGTGCAAAATATGGTCACACAAGATACAATGATACAGGTAGCGGCATAAATACTGATGATGGTACAATGAACTGTCAAAAAAGTTTTATAATTCAGAATTTGGAATAAATGCCGATGCCGACAAGCATCGAATAAGAAAACATTTCAAAAATCAACATGTGCATTAGACTTCATCAGAATAAATAATATTTAATATCAATTCAAAACATGGATCCATGGTACAATGATATCAAGGTAGGGCTATGATACCATATGATTTTAATTTTTTTATTTTCTTGGCTTAATATGTCATCTTTATTTGTTTATGTATGTGTTTTCTTTTCAATAACAAAAAAATTGTTTAGAAAACATTCAAATTCGGGTGTTTTCAAAATGTTTATTTCAACGTATAATCCTTTAGAGATATATAGTACATGATTTTGAAAAGAAGTGTTGACCTTTCATTCAGTTATCGCGTTTTTCAATTATTTATTCAAAATAAATGCAACAAGTTGTTTGATTTTTTATTGTTTTGATACTAATTCTGACATTACAAGCCAAACAGGTAGACCTCTATACTTGCAAAATTTTCAAAGTTGGCCTACCTTCTCTTCATTGTACAATGGGTACAATGAACTGTCAAAAAAGTTTTATAATTCAGTATTTGGAATAAATGCGGATGCCGACAAGCATCGAATAAGAAAACATTTCCAAAAATCAACATGTGCATTAGACTTTACAGAATCAATAATATTTAATATCAACTCAAAACTAGGATATGTTTTGAATGTAATGTTAAATCGAAATATTTTGGAATACAACACTGTTTTTTTACTAAAAGTGCAACTAGGAGGACGCATATTTTTTCACTGCAGAAGGCCACCAATGTGAATAAAGACTTATTTTTCAACATGAATTGTGTCTCTATTAAGGCGTGTCTCTCGTACGGCATATTTTGTGACATATCGTAAAGAGATGCCAGAGCCGCACTTGAATCCTGCCGCTTTTCCTTATAATTTGATATTTTAAGCCATGATGCCAAGCTGCTAATGTACTCACACCTTTAGGAATTTTTATAATCATTTGTAGCTATTTTTTGAATTCTGTATTGGTCGTGAGTGTATACATAAAAAAACATCAGCTGAACGGAATTTATATCCTCCTAAAAGCTCCATCAGACGATAAGGGCTTTACATATGTAGCGTCGATTTTTCCATATGTACGACATTTCAGTTGTGAAATACATAAGTAAAATATAATGTACTTTTTCGATCACAGCGAGCCCTATTTTTAACGAAAATATATAATTTAATCGAGACAGTTGTTTTTTGCTGCAAAAAGTCATCCCTAACATATTATTATTTTTTAGAAAATACAAAAATAATCACAATGTAACTATTGTAAAATTGTGAAGGTAAAGTCATTTCAAATAAGCATATTTATCTCTGCATTTTCTGTAATTACCTTGCCAAATTTTTCTGAATATAAAACAGATTCCCATCTCTGATTTCTTTATATACAATGAATTTATAAATGTACATTTTGACAATGAGATGTTGTCGCAAAATAAATTTTAAATTTCTTAATTCTGCCATGAGTGTAACCAAAGGAAATAAAAAAAATCATATACATGTGTATGATAGCAAGAATTATGTGTCATGGTAGAAGAATATAGGTAGACGATTCGACACAGCTGCTGGGACAATGAACTGTCAAACCAATTTTGGAATCGAAATTTTTGAATGAAAAATTACTCAAATTTGTAAAAATTATTAAAAAATGCATATTATAACAACCTCCGATTTGCGTTGTGTGGTATAACATAGACAAATGTACTTATTTTTGCAGAAATATTTAAAAAATTTTGACATATCAATGTTCTCAAGCGTTGATGCATCTACCTGTATTTTTCTACCATGATTATGTGTCATATGTAAACTGACAATTTTGATATACACATGGAAATTCACATCGATAATAAAACTGACAGCTCATGTGTAAAACACATTTAGTCTGATAATGCCTCAAAAGAACAAAGGAGTTTTAAGTTGAGTTACTTCGGTTTATATCCATAACTTATACTGGTTCACCCTTCCAGTTTTTATTCTTTTACGATCATATAAGGTTGAAAGAACAAAAAACCCTTTTCACTGGCTTAAGTCATCGGCTTGCTTCTTCGGAAAAGAACAAAGGACAGCAAAATCGAACTAAGCCAACCCAAAACGCCTTTGTTCCTCTACAAAGAAGCCGGCCGATGACCTAAGGGTGGAAATACATAAAACGCTTATCTGGCTGGCTTAAGTCATCGGCTGGCTTCTTCGCAAATGACCAAAATCGAACTATGTCAACCTAAAACTACTTTGTTCATCTACGAAGAAGCAAGCCGTTGACTTAAGCCAGCCAAATATGCTCTTTATGTATTTGCAGCCTTAGTCAGCCAAAAGCTTTTTATGTATTCTCACCTTAATTGCTTTGTTTTTCAGCTCATTTTTCTTTTTTCAGCGGACAAATTGCTCAGTTTTGTTAAATCAGCTGATAGCTTGCAAGTTTTTGCATGAAACCGTCTCTTTACTTTGCACAGTTTTCTTACAAAAAAGAATAAATCATCGGCTGGCTTCTTCGTAAAAAAAACATAGCAAAGACCTGAAATGGTAAAGACTAGACCAAATGGATTTTTAGCAAATGGTTTGTGTCTATACTATCTAGATAACAGATCATGACAGGACCATGTTAATATAAAAACCCCATTTATAGAAAAATAAGACAAACAAATATTTGAAAAATCCAAAAATTGGGTTTCAAAATTTTACTCCATAGACTTAAGGGCTAAGTACATAAGAAGGTTGAAGTCATGGCTAGGCATATTTTGTGACATTTCACAAAGGGATTACAGAGCCGCACTAAAATCCAGCCGTCGTTTTCCATTATAATTTGACATTAATCTGCCTAGCCATGACTTCAAGCTTTTTATGTACTTAGCCCTTTATTGCCTAAGCGGTTTTAATCGCTTAACATTGCTAACTATGTTGTTACGATATCATAACACCAGAGGTATTTTCACAGGGTTGCCATATCTTAAATCCGTCTAATAATTTGATTAAATTATTAGTATGTTCCAGAATTGCTTATCGAATTGGTTATCGTAGTAAAGATAACCGATTTTCCTTTTATGATATTGAAAAAAAAAATTACAAAAATAGTAGATTCTTGCAGGTTCTGGAACAAAGTATATATGTTTCCGATGAAAATAGGGCTCGCTGTGATCGAAAAAGTACATATGTACCATGGTAGAAGAATAGAGGTAGATGCATCAACGCTTAGGACATTGATATGTCAAAAAAATTTAAATGTTTTTTCAAATGTAAGTAGATTTTTATATGTTTTCTTATACGACGGAGGTTATTATAATAATTTTTAACAATATTTACAAATTTGAATAATTGTTCATTCAACATTTTCAATTCCAAAATTGGTTCGACTGTTCATTGTCCCAGCATTTGTGTCGATGCGTCTACCTATATTCTTCTACCATGTACACTTGAATATGTTTTTTTCCTTTGGTAACAGTGTGATTATATTATTTTTTCTATAAAATTCTAATGCTTTATGGATTTTATCGCAAATTTATTTTTATAATTTTTACACAACTAACAAACAATACTTTTGATGAATTTATATGTTTCCGATGAAATTAGGGCTCGCTGTGATCGAAAAAGTTACATATATACTATATAAGTATGTACCATGATACAAGAATAGAGGTGGATGCACAAAGGCTTGGGAACATTGATATATCAAGAAAATTTAGAATGTTTTTTACAAGTTTTCTTATACGACGTCAATCGGAGGTTATTATGATATGCGTTTTTCAATAATTGTTACAAATTTGTATAATATTTCATTCTAAATTTTCAATTACAAAATCGGTTTGACAGTTTATTGTTCCGTTAGCTGTGTCGATGCATCGCCCTGTATTCTTTACCATGATATATATTATGGCGCAATAACAAGGTGTTCCTGCAAATTTAAAAAACCAGACGAATGTCAAAACTTGTTTGAAATTTTTGGTTATTTTTTGCTAAGTGATTTCAATCACAATAATGCATTTTGACATTACATTTGGAAGTCAGCTGGCTTGACGTGTTTCACAACTGAAATGTCGTCCAAGTAACACACGATGTGTGCGATAGAAAATTTGATGCTACATATGTAAAAACCTTAAGGTGAGAATACATAAAGCGCTTTTTTGACTGGATTAATTTATCGGTTGGCTTCTTCGTAAAGGAACAAAGGAGTAGTAGGTTGACTAAAGGTGGGAATACATAAAGCGCTTATTTGGCTGGCTTCTTCGGAAATGAACAAAGGAGCCTAGGGCCAAAATCGAACTAAGTCAACCTAAAACTCCTTTGTTCATCTACGAAGAAGCCAGCCGGTGACTTAAGCCAACCAAGTATGCGCTTTATGTATTTCCGCCCTAAGTTTGTTTTGGATCTACACTTCTTTGTTAATTTCCGAAGAAGCCAGCCAATGACTTAAGCCAGTCAAAAAAGCGTTTTATGTATTCTCACCTTTATCGTCTGTTACCTGCTTAAGTAAATTATGGCTCGACTTTGGTTCCGGTTATAAATTTACTGCGTCATTAGAACTTTTTATAGATTACACTGATCTGTCTGATTGTAAGAGGTGTGGTTGCCGCCAGGCCCTTTTTTCTAAAGCTTAAAAGTATTTCAAATACGTATTTTGAAATCAAACATATACGTTTTCTAATTCACGTACAATCCATCCATCCATCCAGTTTCAACTGGATGCTCCTCACTCTCCATATGACAATGTTTAGA